AAAAAAAACTAAAACTCCACTGTCCACCTTCTTTTTTTGTTTTGTTTAAAACTAGACTACTGAGTATCCTCTCTATGTACATCAGGGAGGCTCATTTAAAAAAAACAGGTTTATTATTTAGCTTTTAACATTGTTCGGTTTTTATGTGTTTAATCTTTTATCTCAGGCTTTATTCACAGAGCATTTTCATCTTCTATTTCAGCTGTGCTTGTTTCAGTAGGGTACGCTACCTCTGGCAGTACTCCTGATCAGCCTGAGTTTGCAGCAGCAGCTCTCTAATTTCCTCAGCAGGGTTCAGACCATGAAGCTTGGCTCTCTCCCACCTCTGCAGCCTGCTGATGCCTGAAACGGGACAAAACAGTCACAGATTGACCACCTGTATCTATGATGGATGGAGATGCATGCACTGGATCCAATGCACCATTTCAAACAGTTTCCATGTCAGGTTTCTTTATCTTCCTTCCTTCCTATTAGGGATATGGTTTAACCTTCTCTAACCCTAACATCTGGGCTCCCAGAGCCAAAGGTTTCTTGTTTTCAGGAAAACCCTGACCTGCATCAATTCTCCTTAATATTGAGGAGGAAACACTGGGATCATTTGACAGATTTTTTACATGCAAGAAAATATTTGTATTTTCATATATTTATATTTTATGTTTTTATTTATCTTACCTATTTTTTCCTCTTTGAGAAAGTAAAATATTATTTTGTTAAGTTCTCAACTTCCTTAATGACACAGATGGATTTCTAAATGATCTATTGAGGGGTTTCACAGCAGTCAAGCTGACTAAAATCATTTTATTTTTAATTTATTTTTGCTTTACAGCTGTGCACTGCTTTGGATGCTGTTCTAAAACCACATGATGGTGGGAAGGTAAAAAAAATGAAAGGGGTGTGAATTCGAACAAAAACTTCCAGTAGCCAATCAGTGGTGAGCAACAGGTGCAATAATTTAGAGAGGAGCGATAATCTTCACCTTGGAAACAGATGTTTAAAAATTAAATATGTGAAAACCAAAGGCTGAGTGGGTTTAGAAGAACCGACCAGACGCCCCTCTAAGATTAACCGTTTATCAGCCAGTGAGTCAGAAAAGGGAGAGTAATGATGTTGGCGTGTAAACGCCCTGAAAATATGCACATGCACAGCAAACACAAAGAGGAAAGATGCTGCAATGAGGAAAGAAAATAATAAAAAAACCCAAACTATAAGTTAATAAAAGCTCTGCACCCGGAAGGCTGCTCCAGACCACTAGGGGGAGACGATCGCCGGCTCATATGGGACCAGATCATTGATGGTGGGTGAAATGTAGAGATGAAACCCTCAGCAGAATCACCTTCCAGGAGACATTTGGAAGGAGAAAGATTCCTTTGACTTTTTTTAAACCTTCATTATCTCTGTTTATTCCTTTACTAAGGTTCTAGTCCCATAGGTCAGAGGTCGGCAATCCACGGCTCCAGAGCCGCATAGGGCTCTTTAGCGCCCCCCTTGCAGGTTCTTGGATCTTTTTCAAAAATGTATGAAAATTGATTTTTTGTTTGTTTGTTTATTTTAATATGGTGTGCAGGTGGTTAAACAAACATTTATTATGTTTTACAATGCTGGAAACATTTGTATAATAAATACATTTAAACAATAAATTTAAACATTTCTTTTAACTTAAATTTGCATCATGGCCATAGAGATAATAATAAATAAAATATAAATCATAATAAAATCTGAATCACAGCAAGGTAGTGACAGAGGATGTAGAGAGCTCTGCTCTGATGGATGTCAGTTCCTGCTTGGTTCCTCATGACTCAATCAGCTCCTCCCAACAGAAACACGTCCTCCATAGAAAGATTCCTTTATCCTGTTTCTATCTGTTCATCAGTGAAACTAAACCTAAACCGCGTGGTGAAGGGCGGTGAAGCGGCGCGGTGAGAGCGTTCCCTGCTCCTCCATCAAATCATGCAACTATTTAACATTTGCTCCAGGATAAACATTTAATCATAGATGCTTATTATATATTTAAGCCCACCTAGTCCTTTTCTATAGAGGGATAATACTCTTAGAGGCCGTGTTGCAATACGAGGCTTTTACATTTTTTCAGTTCCAGAAAGATTTGTTTCGTTGTTTTTTTTAGTCCAATATGGCTCCTAGAGCAGGTTGGGTTGCTTACCCCTGTTGTAGGTGATTGTCTCCCCCTAGTGGTCTGGAGTGCTTCCATTCACTGCACCACTTTGATCTTTTCTGAACTTGCTGTTGTCTTCGCNGGCTGAGTGGGTTTAGAAGAACCGACCAGACGCCCCTCTAAGATCAACCGTTTATCAGCCAGTGAGTCAGAAAAGGGAGAGTAATGATGTTGGCGTGTAAACGCCCTGAAAATATGCACATGCACAGCAAACACAAAGAGGAAAGATGCTGCAATGAGGAAAGAAAATAATAAAAAAACCCAAACTATAAGTTAATAAAAGCTCTGCACCCGGAAGGCTGCTCCAGACCACTAGGGGGAGACGATCGCCGGCTCATATGGGACCAGATCATTGATGGTGGGTGAAATGTAGAGATGAAACCCTCAGCAGAATCACCTTCCAGGAGACATTTGGAAGGAGAAAGATTCCTTTGACTTTTTTTAAACCTTCATTATCTCTGTTTATTCCTTTACTAAGGTTCTAGTCCCATAGGTCAGAGGTCGGCAATCCACGGCTCCAGAGCCGCATAGGGCTCTTTAGCGCCCCCCTTGCAGGTCTTTGGATCTTTTTCAAAAATGTATGAAAATTGTTTTTTTTGTTTGTTTGTTTATTTTAATATGGTGTGCAGGAGGTTAAACAAACATTTATTATGTTTTACAATGCTGGAAACATTTCAATAATAAATACATTTAAACAATAAATTTAAAAATTTCTTTTAACTTAAATTTGCATCATGGCCATAGAGATCATAATAAATAAAATATAAATCGTAATAAAATCTAAATCACAGCAAGGTGGTGACGGAGGATGTAGAGAGCTCTGCTCTGATGGATGTCAGTTCCTGCTTGGTTCCTCATGACTCCATCAGCTCCTCCCAACAGAAACACGTCCTCCATAGAAAGATTCCTTTATCCTGTTTCTATCTGTTCATCAGTGAAACTAAACCTAAACCGTGTGGTGAAGGGCGGTGAAGCGGCGCGCAGTGAGAGCGTTCCCTGCTCCTCCCTCACCGCATGCTACTATGTAACATTTGCTCCAGGATAAACATTTAATCACCGATGCTTATTATATATCTAAGCCCACCTAGTCCTTTTCTATAGCGGGATAATACTCTTAGAGGCCGTGTTGCAATACGAGGCTTTTACATTTTTTCAGCTCCAGAAAGATTTGTTTCGTTGTTTTTTTTAGTCCAATATGGCTCCTAGAGCAGGTTGGGTTGCTTACCCCTGTTGTAGGTGATTGTCTCCCCCTAGTGGTCTGGAGTGCTTCCATTCACTGCACCACTTTGATCTTTTCTGAACTTGCTGTTGTCTTCGCTACTTGCAGCTTTTTGCATACGTTTGTATATCTGCGTGTTAGACTCATTATTGTGTTTGCTGCATGTTTATGTATTTGCTCTGTGTTTGCACCTCTATCAGACGATTAGTCACCAGCAGTAAAGTACTGTCAGGTTGTTTTAACCCAAAATGAGGCATATCAGATGCAGACAGTGAACAGTTTGCAACAGGAGTTTAGATTCAATGTTTAGATTTGTGAGAATAGATGCTGTTCTGCACCACGTCCAGATGCTGCAGGGCATTACCTGTGCAAGGGCCGAATCTCCAGTCCAGGTCAAACTGCTTGAGCTGCTGCAAATCCTCCTCTCTGGCAGATGGAGCAACATCTTCTGCTTCAATAAGATAATTGAGATATCATTTAAAATGGGGAGAAACATTTGCTGTTATCAACATTAACGAACATTTGATTTATGTTAGCAAGTTCTGTTCTTCTGGTTTATTTCCTGTTTTAACCTAAAAGGGAAAACCTGTGATGATTGTCCGGCTAAAGAGTTTAATCAACTTATATCTAACAAACTTATCATTATTAAAAGATGTTAACAGGAATCTTCCACAGCAGTTATGATAAATTTTAACAAAAAAAAAAACATTTGGAACTATTTGACTGAAGCAACCGAATGATAAAAGTGATTATTGAACACCTGGCTGTGATGGAGGAGGGGTGGGACTCTTTCTTTGCTTTGCCCCTCGCCGCGATTTCTTCACCACCTTAAATGAGTCCGTTATCAGTCCACGCTTCGTTGTCATGGTGACCAATCTAGGAAATACACAAAGCAATGAAATGAATGAATGTTTCTGATCCAAGCTGGTCATATACTCACACAGTTCCTTCTACCAGAGGACAGGTAGAAACAGGGGCGCTGCCAGGAATTTGGGGCCCCCCCCCCAAAAAAAAAAAAAATAAATAAATTATGCAAGTTTAAATACTTCTACACAGATCCACTGAAGTTTATCATTTACATTTTCATTAAATATACATTAACTTTAAATTGCATAAACTGGCGGATAAAAAACTTGAATGGTCATTTTATTCATGCTTTGTTTCACTGTTTATTTATGAAAATTGAGGGAGAACCTTTCAGTTCAATTCAATTCAGTTTATTTCTATAGCTCCAATTCACAACACTTGTCATCTCAAGGCACTTTACAGTTCAACCAGATCATC